ATGGACTAAATAAGTGTACAAAATACACTTATCAAACATGTATAAATTGAACATAATATTGTCAATGAAAATAACACTTGCCACCATCACTTTTCTAAAAAAAATTCTCATGGTATCAGAGCTTTAATATGACTTTGGGTTAAATTTGCAAGCTTCATATCTGACGAGCAGCACAATTTTTTTATTTTTTGTGTATATATATTTTCAGAACTTTGCAGAAGATTACCCTTCTGAGCCTCTCAAGATTCAGATTGTCACAAAAATATGGCATCCTAATAAAACAGTCGAAGTGGAACAATATGCCTGTGTCGACTAGTGGAATCCTGCACTCACGGTAAAGACAACACTTTTTTCTGCACAGGTTTACTCTGTTGGTCCTAGATTAAGTGATTATTTTGTGATTCAACCAATTAAACAAAAAATACACAAAGTAAATTGCAAGAAAAGTAAGAAGACAAATGATTTTTCAGCCCAAGGCCCCCGAGGTTCAGAGATCGCTTCTAATGCCTAATCACCCATTGAGCATCTGATAGGATTTTGCTCAAATCGACCAGAACAACCCCAAAACAGGTAAGAAATCAATTACAGAAGAACACCAGGTATTCTGTCTCTCGAAACACAAATCAACCCTAAACAATTACAGCACAATCTCACCAAGAGATAGATATTATCAATATCCTTTTACACTAATATGATTTCACTCAGAAATCATAGAATATACTCTCAGTAAGAACAACATAGCCGAGAGAGAGAGAGAGAGAGAGAGAGAGAGAGAGAGAGAGAGAGAGAGCGAGCGAGCGAGCGAGCTTTCAGGGTTTGTAACGTGTGTATTGAAGGATAAATATTTAGTAAAAATTTTTATTTTATAAAAAATTTAATTAAAATAAAAATATCTGATTTTGGAATTAATAAAATTTGAATCCGATTTTGGAAGTTGGATGTTGAAACAAAGGGTTTGGTGTAATTACCACTTGTTTTATTAGGCCACAGATGATGTATTTTTTATGGCTTGTTTTGGTCATAATTTTCAGTAGTTTGGAACGAGACTAATTGTCAAAGTTTTTTGGAATAGTTATTATATATTTTCTTGGTTTTTGATCGGTATATATATCATTTGCTAATGCATATAATGCTTTGTTAGTTTATATTATCTAAGGCGAGAGTCGATATCCTATTTGACAAGAAAAGTTTAGGGTGAACATCTAGACTGGTACTTAATTGAGTGTATATTTTCTTCGTTTTTAATTGGTGGATACATATTTTTTGCTTATGCCTATAATACCTCTGCAGTTTATATTACATAAGGTGAGGGTCGATATCTTATTTGACAGTAAAAGTTTAGGATGAACATATAGACCTGTGCTTAATTGAGTGTAGGACAATCTTTGCCATGAATATCGTGAGTTTAACCTTCTAAACTTGATACCTCGTGACATGAGTTATTCTAAAATTTTAAAATTTCAGCCCACCTCAAAAACATTTTTTGGCTGTAACCTCCATTTGTATCCATGAGGCACGAGAATGCTTGACTATGTACTCAAAAGAAATTGAAACTTACTTTTAAAACACTTAATTTATCAAAGAAGAATTTTTTAGTTTCTTTTTTATTAGTAAAACTTAGGTGTCGTTCTCTTCATGTTTCAATTTTTAATTTTGAGTTTTAAATTTATTTTGGATTTTGGGTTTTTGAGTGTCCATTTTAAGATTATTAAAAACGCGTTCTTTTTGTCATTTTAAAATTTTTTTTCAAAAAAAAAAAAAAAAAAAAGAAGTTTTGGCTTTGTTTTAATTGAAAACAGTCAAAAGGACTTTTTTGGTGTTTTCTGTTTTCTTTGTAAATTTTAAATTCGTTTTTTGAAAATTCGTTTTCGAAAATAGGTAAGTAAATGTGTTTTTAGTGTTTTCGAAAACTGAAAATAGTTTGAAAACAATAAAGAGAGCAAAACCTTAGGGCCTGTTCTCTTTGCCATTTTCAACCCGTTTTCTATTTTCGATTTTTCAAAACAGTGAAAACGCGTTCTCTATCATATTTTCGAAAACGCGTTTCTGAAAACAGGTTAAAAATTTACAAAGAAAACACAAAACAACAAAATTGTCGTTTTGGGTGTTTTCAGTTATAACTTGACAAAAATTCCCAAAACACGTTTTCGTTGTTTTCAATCACAGCCAACCATCACCGCACCTGACCACCACTGCACCACCACGACCACCACCGACGGAACCCACCACCGCACCACAGCGCCCCAACCACTACTGCACCACCACCACAACCATCGAAATCGCCACCAGAAACCCCACCGCCCAAGCCAAAATGGCGATCCAACTATCGAAAATCTCGACCAGAAAGACCGTCACCGCCCCAGTCAAAACGGCGACCCAACCACTGCCAGATTCGAGACTACAAAGACCACCACTGCCCAGCCGAAATGGCGACCCAACCACAACAAAATCGCCATCAAAATCGCAACCCAACCATCCCCAAATCCCTTAATTTTTTGAAAATTTGGAACTTTTAAGCACATCCAAAAATGCTTATCTAACTTTCGAATGGATCCTATTGTATCTTTCCAGTGAAAAAACTTACATACGTCAGCACCTTTTTTTGTTTTTTGTTTTTTTGAAATCTCCAGAATATATTCTTTGGATTCCTAACTTTTTTGCATGAAAGTTATCAATTTCCATTGGATTTCGTTTTATGGTTTCAAGGTACAAAGATTATGTTTCATTTTTAAGGCTCTTCTTCAAAAGAATGATTCGAATATTGAAAAACAGATTCTAATCAATGGCCTTTTCATACCCTTTGAAGAATCCTATGTCACTGAAATTCCAAGATTCAGTAATGCACTAAGCCCACTTCACATGACCTCCTTACCAACGTGTCAAAACATCCCAACCCATATTTTTGTCGAGTAATTTAAGTTTTTAGATCAAATAATTTAATACAGTACAGATACCCGAACAAAGCTATAATCAAACCAAAAAATCAAATAATTTAATACAGTACAGATACCCGAACAAAGCTATAATCAAACCAAAATATTAATTAAACATCATAGAGACGTGATGAAAAGACAAAAAATATGGATTTACTTGACAAATAAACTCTCAAAGAAGATAAGGTTTGATTTGTCAAGGATGAGTAAGAAACGAGAATGTAAAGTGGTCATCCTCTCAAGTCTTGCCGTTGTTCTCCCACCGAAAGGCATCTAACATGGAAGATAAGGCACAAGTCCCTTTTCAACTTTTTTGGGATCTCTCAAATATCCAAACACTATCTTAATAGGAAAAGGGAACGAAATACGTACAAGAATAATATCGTATAATTGATTTTTACTATAACTTTTTACGTGTAGATATTTGCTTTATATTGGATCGAGTTCTTTAAAAGAACGTATTATTTATTTGTGAGCATAGTTATCGGATTCGGCCTAGTCGTTGACTCGATCAAAACATTGAGTCGACAAGTCATTGGTTCATCTAGCGTATTCTTATGATCTTATCGAGCCAAAATGTTAAACAAGACAATATTTTTTTCAGGCATGGGTATAACCACAAGTTTGTAAGTTATTAAAGTGGATTCCAGTTGAACAACTCCTTTATTAATTTACATATTATAAATTCTTAATTTTTCTCTTTTTCCAAAAAATTAAAGCTAAAATCTACTAGAAATGCATCAGTTTGACGAACATGAGGTCTTAGGTTTGAAACTGGGTATTTTATTTTGTAAATAGTCAAAGAACCGATGATTTGACTCGATTTCCTAGTTTTCTGCAAACTCTGGTCGAGTCAACTTGGCAAATGTGAATGTGGCAAGGAATCTATTAATATCAACGACATGTTGATTTTGAGGCCATCATATCTAATGAGTGAAAAGCATAACAAATTTGAATGCTTACAAGCCATAACTCATGATAGACGAAAATAGTCGAAAAGCCATTTGTGTTTTGAGTTTTCGTATAGCTTTGCACAATCGCTCATAGATTTTTTCCAATATTGAAATTCTTAGTGTAGTCCATTGACATATATTTCTTGCTTTAACCAAATTATAAATTCTTACTTGATATATCAAACACACTAAATGTCTGTAGGCAAAAAAAATAAAATATAAAAAATTTCGATTTTGTCCGACCGACCATATGGTCACAATTTACTTGGAACTTTGCTACACTTACATACCTTAGTACAAAACCCTCTCACATGTGTGTGGGGCCCACAATCACAATTTACTTGGAACTTTGCTACACTTACACACCTTAGTACACAACCCTCTCACATGTGTGTGAGGTCCGCATTGTGGGCTCCACACACATGTGAGAGAGTTGTGTACAAGTAGGATTTTTCAAATATTTAGGCAGCTACATACCACAATAAGCACATAATTTATGAAAATTTAAAGACGATGTCGTGCACATTTTTTACTTTGTTTCTTTATCTTGTACTATTAAGCATTACAATGTAGAGATGATCCTCCACCAACCAGCGAATGTAGTTAGTAGTTACCAATAAATGGTTCATTATTATATTATTTATATTTAAATATAATAATTTTACTTGTCCATACACTACAATTAATTTCGAAACATCCATTTGGAGCCTGTTTGGTACAAATTCTCATTTTTTACAGTAAATCAATTCTCATTTTCAACTACATATTCTTCAATAAAATAATATTTTCCATCACATCAATACTTTTTTTCTTTTTCAACTACACATTTCCCATCATATCACTATTCAAAAATCAATTCTTCCCCCAAAAATCCCTACCAAACACACTCTTGGTATGGCTCTTGAGAAGCTAAAAGAAATTTTTGAGATTCAAAAGTTATTTTTGAACTGATAGGCTAATTTTACGAAGTGATTCTTACAGTTAGAATTTTTTTTTTTTTTTTAGAAAAAACTAGTCCAGTGTGATTTCATCTAAAAACACTTATCGACAGGTAAACAAAAATCATGTCCAATGGAAGCACTTATCCCTGTTTGGCGAAAATCAAAATTCAAATTTTAATTTAAATCAAAATTAATAATTTATTTTAATCACACATTTTAAAAAGTGCCCAACTTTTCAAACGTCAATGAAGTTGTCTATCGACACGTTAATGAATTATGTTGGCGTCGGAATTCTTTTAAATTCCAAAAACAGCAACACAAACAAGCATAATCCATACATAGCAATTATTAGCAATAATTTTAGACAACACAATTAGGGCTGCGGGCTACATGCTTTTCCCTTTCGTGCAGTCGCTTCAGCCCTTTACAAACTTTTCTTCAATATCACTGGCTTTCTTGACTTTTTTACCAGCACTACTTGAAAAGTAAAAACACAAAAGTAAAAAGTAAAAACATCCCAACTTGGCTAAAGAAACACGCACACACACACCTTTTCTAATCCTATTATACTAATTTCCTATTCTATTTCCCCCACTAGGGAAAAATCTTGGAAAGTAAGTTAATTGGTCAGAAGGAAACAATTTTCCAGCCCAATTATTTTTAAACCCTGAAATTCTTGCCAGTGAAGGTCTGTCCAAATTGCCAATTGGGAGGTGCAATGTTCCGAGAGGTCGATGAGCGACGGTCGCTAGCCGTGACCCTGAACGACAAGGCCTGACCCACAAGGACTGCGTTGGATTGCCAGTTTTGTCCCCAGTTACGGCTCATCGGCATCCATTGAGTGTTGGCACCTTTGATGCTAACCCGCACTATATCTCCAGCACCCGCGACGTTAGTGACCAAAACCAAGTTGAAGTAACGGAAACCGTTGATTGTGAACCTGATCCCCCCGTGCTTTCTGCATGGTACCCTGCAAAATTTTAAAAAAGGTTAATTGTAACAATATAAATTAATTAAAAATGAAAAAAGCAATTGGTTTTATTATTTATTTAATTAGAAACAATTAGTGCACTTTACTATTTCCGGTACAATGGACCGTCTAGTTGTGGGCCCACAGGCGCGTGGGACAACAACATTAGACATGTCCACAAATTTCCTACTTTAGTAGCACAGTCCAATCCTGATTTCCCGGCAAATTGAACTATTACAATTACTATAATACCCTCCAGAGTAAATAGAATAGCATTTTCCATATTTAACCCCGACACATTGTTCACAACGTTGAGGTTTCGCTGCATAATTTCTGTACAGTGAAAATGACCCATGATACAAAACGCGGTTTTGGTTGGCTGTCTAAGGCGGAAGCCACCAACCACCGCCACTTGTCACCGTATAACTACGGAAGTGACCACAGCCTACAGTGGTGATAAATAAAGAAATGTACAAGGGCATTTCAGTCAAATTAAGAACATAATTCATCGACTTATGTGTTCTCAGTACGTCAGAAAAGTTGTGGCTCAATTGGAGAGGAAGCAGACTACCAGAGCCTCGCAGAAGAGGCCAAAGTTGTCATTTTACGATGTTTATTAATATCAAACCACCGAAAAGAGAGAAAAAACAAAGAGGATAACACGGATTCTGTGCCATGGTTCGAAAATGACCCTAGAACCTCAGCAGATTCGCACACAACTAGCACTGAAAAATCTCTTTCCAAAAAATTTAGGATCCCAACAAGATAATTTAAAGAACGTTTACCGATAAGTAAGTTTGATTAATCAAATGTGAAAGAAGAGTAGTCGGGATCTTACCGGCGGAAGTTGACAGGGACAATGCCGGCACGGTATTCAGCGATCTTGAGGAACATAGGCATGGCAAGGTCGAAGTGTGTTCTAGGAGGGTTGCACCACCCGCCATTGTCATTAGGCAAAGCAAAGTTTGGTGGGCAGAAATTCGTGGCAGTTACCAAAATTGAGGGGCTGCCGCGGTTGCACCATTTGGGATCCTGGTCCGCAGCACATTTTATCTCAAAGCAGGCTCCACAGCTCAAACCATTGTTGAATAGAGCTGTGCTAAGTGCTGCAGTGTTCACTCCGTACCCTTGGCTGTACAGATTCCCATAACCACAAGCACCGCCTGAAAAAAATTCAAGAGAACAAATATAAAATGGAGTGTAGGTGAAGAGAATGAAGCTTAAACGGTAAAAACAGTGAGCTATTTTTATGGAAATCTGTAAAAAAAATGCAGAGGAAAAATACATATGTTAGTATGTTACATATTTGTGAATGTGTGTAGAGTGAGAGGTGTGGAAGGAATAAGTAGGTACCCATAGTGCCGGAAGCGTCGCTACCGCCGTAAAATGTGGCGTGGGCGCCTTGCCAGGGGCCGCCGGTGTAAACTCCGGGGATTCTGGCGTGAGCAGCAGTCAGAAAACAGAGGATGCTAGCAATGCAGAGCAACGACTCCATTGAACCCATTTTTTGTTACTCACTCGGTGACTTTAGTTAGAATTCTAGTTCTAATCTAGACAAAGAAGAGTGGTGTCTGTGTGTGCGTGGGAGAGAGAGAGAGCGCAAAGGGGTTTTGGCCTGAATTGAAATGTAGACGAAGGTGGGTGGGTACTTATGGAGGAGAAAGAAATGAGGGGGCTGGGGTGGGTGCAGAGTAACACGTTACATGAGGGCAATAACCTGCAATTATTGTCCGGCAGTTAGTGCTTCATTCTCCCCCATTTTTTATTAAAATGTACTTTGAAATAATAAATTGACAAAGAATATGTGATTGAAAAAATAAAGAATTTTTTTTAAATGTACGTGTAATATTATTTTATAAAAGAATACGTTATTGAAGAGAGAAATATTTATTTTAAAAACAATGTGGATCAAACAAGGGCTTATCTTATATTTTGATTTTGATTAAAAAAAATTTAAATCGAATTCAATAATTATTTTAATTACGTTTTTTTTTTCAGTCATGAGTTTCACCAATTGTTATCAAAATTCACTAAACATTAATTTCTAGTAAAATCAACTTTATAATTTTTTTAAATGAAGTTAAACTCTTGTTTGATCCCACTATTTTTAAAATACATTCACTCTCTCATTTTCAATAACACATTTTTCAATAAAATAATATTGGATGGAAATTCAAATTTTTTCTTTATTTTTCAACCACACATTCTCTATCAATCTAATATTACCAAATACATTCTTACAATAAAATGGGGCCCAAACAATATTAGAGCTTGTTTGTCTCCCATTATTGGGAGAAAATTAGTGTAATGAATCGTATTTTTTGGAGAATGTGTGGTTGAAAATTAAAGTAACTTTATTGGTTTGTGTGTAGAATATTTTATTGGGTGAATGTGTGGTGGAAAATCTTACTGTAGCAAACAATTTTTTGGATTAATGGTAGACAAACAGGGGCTCATTAGTAAGGTTTTTTTATTTTTTTTGTTCAGAACTGGTATCAGGAATCAGTAAGTTCATCGAGCATTTCTAACAATGTTAGCATCTTTGTAGCACTCTCATCATTACGTATTATTAAAAATATGTACACAAGTTTGTGCTGGACTGGTATCAGGAATCAGTTAGTTCATCGAGCGTTTCTAACAATGTTATCAGCTTTGTAGCACTCTCATCATTACATATAATTAAAAATATGTACACAAGTATTGAGAATAAGAATAAATTGAAACAACATGTAATTATGCTACAAAGATCATCGCATATGGAAGTTGTCACATCGTGTATTTGGCCTTGTATCAATTCCAAGAACCAAAATCCAAGGGAATAACAATGAGAGAATAAAGTATGAGATAAACATGAAACTTACGTTGGACTTTAAAAAAAAAAAAAAAACATAATATGTATTTAGAATGTTACACTTATCATAAATTGACACAGATTTCTGATCATATACCCTTTAGGTGAATAACATTTAGCCCTGTTCGGTTTAGATAAAAATTAAATTGTTAATCGATTTTGATAAAAGTTGATGAAATATATGGTTAAAAAGTTAATAAAAATTGCAGGTCTCATAAAACACGTGGTTGAAAATAAATTTAGTATAAAAATACGTTTGAAGAAATGGGGGCCAAACGTCAACTTATTATATATTTAAATTTTGAAAACAGAATTCAATAGGGATTTCTCCTTAATTAACCGCAACAATAATGAGCCATAATTGTAAAAAGCTCATTTAATATCATTCACCATCCTGCATTTACTCGCCATTCGCCATTGGAGGCTGGACCTTTCGGGGTTTGAGGGGTTGGCCTATGTAATCTGAATTGGATTTTGCCAGCACACGCACTCCACCAATCCCAACTGTTTGTTGCCCTCTAGTTAGGAATGCATTAATTCACAAGATTCGATTTTACCAATTGAAATCCAACGTGTATCACGGGTGTTTAGCACCAAAATATAGTAACCCAAAAGATGGAGCTAACTAGAGCAATAAAGATGGATCGAGTGGTCCAGAGTTGGGATCGCTTGATCCATGTTTGGTCTAACCTTATTCATAAGGGTTTCAACTTTTGACATCCATGTCTCACGTCGACTTTTAAAGTATGGACTGTCCAAGATTCCAGTAAGTATTCGACAAACACTCTCTTTGTTGCCTATAATTTGAACCTAATTCTAAATGATGTCCCCTGAAAGACATTCTCAAATGATATGGACTTGAAAAAGAAATTTTCAATTTAGAGTTCGAAACGGGAACTACTAAAGGGTACAAAGACAAAGGTAGAAGGCAATTTTAAAGTAACATTATTTTTTTGTAACTACTAATATTGTTGATGATTCAGTAGAATTGCAGACAACGATACATTTAGTAATCGCCGACATATCTCGTCAGTTATTACCGACGTTATGTTGACTTACATTGTCAGGATCCCAATGGTGCTTTACTCAACGATGAAAAAGATCACCTTGAGATGATCGTTCAATCTAGTTCTTGACCTTTTCTTTTCTTTTCAAATGACCTACTACAATTTAATGGCAATGAAATTTAAGTAGGATTGCAAAGTTTGTTTAACTATTTACATAATGTTCCTCACCAAGGATCCAAAAATCGAAGCATGTTAACTTCCTTTTGTCTCTGCATGTCTCCAAATCGAACTCTCTACGAAATTAAATACGAGTCGAGGTGGTGTATATGTAATGGATAAAAGATTAGGGATCAAGAAAACATTAAGCAAGCGTAGTTTGTTAATCCAAACGTCAAACATCGAAAGAGCCCACCCACGTGAAACAGTGGAAGAACCGAATGATTGATTTCATCCTTTTTCGGTTTTTTCTTCCATTTACGTTGCCGTCTCGTCAACAAATCATGCCTCCATGTGCTTCTGCCTTTTCTTTTATTTCACAAATCTTACCCTTCTTGTCCACAATAATGCTAAATGTACATTTCATCTTTTACATCTTATTTGACATTTCCCTTGTATTCAAAAAATTATGGGTGAAAAAGCGTTTTTTTAAACAGTCCAATGACGTGTTGTCACGTGGCACAATGTAAACAATGATGTAAAAAATGATGTATACAGTAAAAAATCTATTTTAGTTAATCTTTGAGTAATTATTCTATGTAATCCAGTCAACTCATTATTGATTAATGTTAAGAAAGAACCTTGCATTTCAAGTTGACAAATTAAAGGCCTGTTTGACAAGACTTCTACTTCTTGTAAAATGGCTTATTGGGTAAGTTACATTATATCAGTTTTCTCTAAAAAAATTTCTAATCGGACAAAACACTTTCAGAAAATGATTTAAACATATTTAAAAGCAACTTTTTAATTTTAGAGATAACATTTAACTTTTCAAAAATTTCGTCAAATGGGCCCTAATTGTTTGGAGACTCAACATATCAAAAGCAACATAACGATGTCATCATATCCAATCGACAAAGAGTTGTCAATCTCGATATTATTCTTCCTTAAATCATTATACAATATATAATCGCAAAAACTCGACTATGCGAACTTTAATGTTTTTTCATCCTCATTTTTCTAGCTAAGGAGTACATGTACACGTGTTGCTTTGATTCCCATCTACCCGTTGTCCCAAAATTCTCATATCATAATAATGTAAGCATACTTATTGATCAAACTCATCAAATTGCTAGCCCATTTAATCAAGGGTGGTGATGCCGTTAGGGAAGGTGCACTTTTTTAACACGTAGGGTACGTATTATACCAACCAAATCTTGCAAATCTGCCAATTCAACAAATTTCGAACCAGCAAAACTATTTTGGCCATGGCAAGACATGTGAACATGTCACTAATTAAATTTGTACCTTAATTGCCCCTTTTGTGTAGGCATGTGAATGTGAATTCTTTCACAAGCACATTTATTAGCATGGGTTGGGAGTCTTTGGACGGTAGGGAGAAATTTTTATTTTATTTTATTTTTTCAAAAAATATAATTTTACGCATTGTTACGGTAGATTGTTTATTGAAATAAAATACAAAGTAAAGAGGAAGAGTGTATTGTCGGACATTCGATTAATGAATGTCTAGAACGAAAAACTTAATCCGCTCAGAGGTCGGGAGCTTAAAAAGAAGAAAAAACTATGACTTTTTATGTCCTTTCATGCTTCGGGTCACTGTACATCTGATCATACAATTGGTTTGTTAAGATTAAGCTCAAGTTATTAGACAACTTCACTAAAAAATCACAAAACGATAAAGTGCTAGTAATAAAGAATAAGAAGAACATAAGAATTTTCGTCTTAAAGCAAGAGGTTCGAAACATAAAGTTCCTAATCCCCTTTTGAGCTTTCGTCATCAGAAGAAACCACTATATTATAACTGGAACCAAAGTAATCGTCCAAGATACACTTTCTGAGCGCTCAGAATGAATCATGATTCATTCAATATGACATCAAGCAAATTTTTCGATATATACAACCGTTCACTCAAGAACACATTACTCAACAATATACAAATCACTCAAGATGTAAATCAAGCTGATAGTATATGAAAGATCAAAAGAAGCTTTCTGCCTTTAGAGTGAGGGAAAGAGACGAGAGAACTACAAGGTTCAGAGAGAGATGAAAAAAATGAATTCGACACTCAAACCCTAAGCAATGAATGTATATCAGAAGTCACCAGAAAGTCATCCATCCAACTGTTGTTAGGGTTAACACTTGGCGACATCATATGCCTTAAAAAACACGTTTTTGTAAAATAGAAGCAGCAGTCACCAATTCAACAAACCAGTCAAAGAATTAACCACAGCCAAGTCATCACCATTGTGCCACCTTTCCCCACATGGTTGGCTCCTTGTAACAGTCATTGAAGTACTATAATTTTGGCAATACGGATCCATGTTTGGCCTCACATGTCTCATCGCGGTATAATGAAAATCTTAAGACATGGCAATAAAAGTAGTCCTTGTTCTAAGCATATATGATCCAATCCCTTTGAAATGCCTCATTTTGTAAGCATCTTCTTTATTTTTTTTTTTCTTCAACTTA